AATTTTGTCCTCCCCTTTGGCTGGTGAAGCACACCTCTCTTAGCTGCTCCCAACTGCTCCAGCTGCCCATACTTGCCAACTACTCCAATTGCCAAATACATGCTTTGGTATGGTTTCTTTATGGAAAGCTTGACGTTTGTTCATCTTTCTGAGTTTCTGAGCTGATTTGACTCCCATGTATGGCTGTCCATGTGTAGCACATGGCTCTATGGATGTATCCACATTAAATGTGAAGGTAGCCAACATAACATTTCTGTGAACTTTATTCAGTATTTGATGTGTTGAGGGCTCCAGATTTATCCAATTGGGCTGAAATTTGGATATGTTATAATAGACACCCATTGGAACAACTTCTATCAAGGATGTCTCCTCATCCGACTTGTGTAAGTTACTAAAATGAGGCCTTCAAGATGACCTACGAAACTGGACTGACAATGAGTGTGGCTCAAATTGGTTTTGTTTTTAAGCTTATATTCCTCTTGTGCCACTCGGCCCTTAACATGCATGAATTGTATCAAATCTCATCCCCTTGCTGTCTTAACCTACAAAATAAACAAAAAGAGGTAAGTGACTCAAAATAAAGAGAAACTAAGCAAAGTCACTAAGTTAAGAAGGCATGCGAATGTATGAAATTATGAACTTATCACTTAATAAAGTGCAAAGTAGGTTTACTGCTTGGAAAATGAAGTGTCTCTCCTTAGTTGGCGGAGCTACCCTCATCCAAGCTGTCACATCTTCCATACCTATGTATACGATGCAGGCTATAAAGTAGCATTTGTGAAGATCTTGATCGAATTAATAGGGATTTTTTTTTTTGGACGCGGTGGAAAAAAGCATAAGGTACATTTATGCCAGTGGGATTTGGTGTATCGTCCCAAATGTAGGGGTGGTTTAGGATTCAAGAAACTGCATACATGAATAGGGCTCTTTTAGCAAAGATTGGTTGGAGGATGCACACTCGTGATCAAGGGCATGAGCTCAAATTTATGAAAGGAAGTACCTAAAAGACTGCTCTATCTTGGATACTCCTGGGGTCTCCAGGCAAGATTGTTCTGCTACTTGGAGAAGTGTTCTATATGGTGTTGAGTTACTGAGAAAGGGAATGGTTTGGAGAGTGAGGAATGGGGACAAGGTGAATTTCTGGAAGGACCATTGGGTGGCTGATCTCCCTTTGTTACATTATGCAGAGGTGCAGTCTGGGATTGATTTGGACTGCAAGGTCTCTAATTTCTTTAAAGAAGGGTGGTGAGATGTTGAGAAGTTAAGAACTATTCTTGATGAGGATATGGTGCAAAAGATCACCTGCTTTCCTGTTGGTTTTGAAGGTAAGAGTCAAGATGCTCATATATGGAGGCCTACTTCTAATGGCATCTTTACTGTTAAATCTGTTTTTCAGTTGATCCATGGGGGTTCTAATTGGTTTGATGCTTATTGGAAGGGTCTGTGGGGTATGTCTCTCCCTCCTAAGTTGAAAGTTTTCTTATGGCTTGTTTTCCAAGGTAAGATCCTCACTAATGAGCAAAGAGTTAGGAGACATTTGGCTCTGGAGTCCTCTTGTTCTGTATGTGGTTGGCACTTTGAAAATATCATTCACACTCTTAGGGATTGTGGGCGTGCTAAGGAGGTATGGCTTACTATTCTGCCTCCAAGTAAATTCCATGGTTTTTTCTTATCTGATCTTCCTTCTTGGCTTCAGAGCAATCTCTTTTCCAAAGCTAAGTGGGAAGGGAGGTCCCCTTGGAATACCATGTTTGTTTTCACTTGTTGGTATGTATGGAAGTGGCGTAACCAACACATTTTTAATGAAGCTGAGGTCTTGCCTTGTGATCCTAGGAAGATTATTTGTGATGTTGTTTTGGATTGGGTTAAGGCTTCTAAGTGTGAATTGTAGGAATGTGCCTAGAACACAAGTTAAGCTAAGGTGGGAGCCGCCTGGAAGTGGGTGGGTTAAGCTCAATGTGGATGGCACTTGCATGAATGCTTCTGGGAAGATTGGTGCTGGTGGTGTGATTAGAGATTGCTTTCGGGAGTGATGTGGAGGTTTTGCTGTGAATTTGGGGAAGGGGCGTATTTTGGATGCTGAAATCTGGGGTTTGTTGTTTGGCCTCCGATTAGCAGTAGCAAAGGGCTTCACCAAGATCCTCATAGAAATGGATTCTCAGATTGCCGTGAATCTTTTCCAACAAAGGGATTCTCTATGTTTTCATCCTCTAGTTGCTTTGCTCTCAAACTGTGAGAAGATGCTTATGCAATTTGAGAGTTGGAATATCCAGCATATTTTCAGAGAGAAGAATGGTTTGGCGGATTGCCTTGCCAAATAGAGCCATAATCTAGACTTGGATATTCAGTTTTTTGTTTCAGCTCCTATCTGGGCTAGCTTTGCTTAAGCTGAAGATCTGTTGGGAGTCACTTGAGGCCGTTTGATTTGTACTGGTTAGGCTTTCGGGGTTTTTTTTTTTTGGGCCATTTTATCCACAAAAATATAAATAAATTTAACAGTATAGCCGCACGGCTGTATCCTATGAATAGAACTTTAAAGGTATAGCCGCCCGGCTATAATCGTTCAATAGAATTCTACTTTTCGGAAAAAACCAATTAAAAACCCGAGCATAGTCGCCCGTCTATACTATTTTTTAAACAAAATTTAAAAAACCAAGTACAGCCGTGCGGCTATACTGTTATCGTATACGGCTATACTTTATATATATATATATATATATTATAAATTAAATTCCTTACTTCAATTATGACTCGATTCTTACATCATTTGGCCTTCCATGAGATGAAGTTGGTTATATATGAGGAAAAATAAGATTGTTTCATAAAAATAGTAGACTAGTTTAAAAACCAAATAACATAATAAAACAAGACGAAATATATGTAATGATTTTATCTGAAAAAGAATTTTTAATTAATAAAAAAATATTACTTAAATCAACAGAGCCCAAGAGCCCCAAGGCCTCAAGGCGCATCTTTGAAAATTCAATATACATATATATATTTTTTTTATTCCCCATAAAATGACACGTCATCACTTAACAGATCTTCTAACAGTATAAACAAATTTTAATAAATTTTAAATGTGGAAGTACCGCATTGTTAAAATTGAAAACATGGGGACAAACGCGCCTTAAGAGTACAACTTCAGGGTACCAAAATGAAATTAACTCCAAATATTTTATTAAATAAAAAGTAATAAATAAATAAATAACTATTTATCAAATAATATAATTGATGAAGTTAATTAAAATATTTAATACTAATTATTCACTAAATAAATAATAAATAAAACATAATTACTAATGGAAGTAATTAAATAAGGCTAAGATACTATTTAGTCACCAAAAGCAAAATTTAAAATAAAATTTTATTGAATTAAAGAAACAAAGTTTTTATAATAAAATAAAAAATTACACCTCTCCCGACAAACTTCCGTCGGTAGAAATATCTCCTGGCGAAACTTTGTCAATTTGTCGGCACAGGTGGATTTCATCGGCATAGGTAAACTTCGTCGGAACATATCTAATCTGGCAAATATTTGCTGGCAAAGACCTTTGCTGACGAGATTTCATCATGACAGGTTTCCTTGCATTTTAAGAAATTTTTAAGGTATAGCCAGTCGGCGATACCCTTTCAATATAATAGTTTAACAGTATAGCCGCCCGGCTATACGATTTTTCTAAAAAATCAATTAAGAACCCAAGTATAGCTGCCCGTCTATACTATTTTTTAAACAAAATTTAAAAAACCGAGTGCAGCCATGCGGCTATACGGTTTTGCGTGAAAAATAAAAATAGTATAGTCGCACGGCTGTACATTTTTTAATTATAAAATAAATTCCTCACTTCAATTATGACTCGATTCTTACATCATTTGGCCTTCCATGAGATGAAGTTGGTTCTATATGAGGAAAAATAAGATTGTTTCATAAAAATAGTAGACTAGTTTAATACCAAATAACATAATAAAACATGCCGAAATATATGAAATGATTTTATCTGAAAACGAATTTTTTATTAATAAAAAAATATTACTTAAATCAACAGAGCCCAAGAGCCCCAAGGTCCAAGGGCCATCTTTTGAAAATTCAATATATATATATATATATATATATCTCTCTCTCTCTCTCTCTTTACCCTAACCAAGATTAAGCCTAACTTTGTCTTCACTAGGCCAATATCATATTCAGTATTTTTAAAGTGTTGGTGCTTATAAACCATGGAATGAAACAACTCCCTTCTATTGTGGGACTAAATGGAAGTGTATTTTTCCTATACAAACTCTAACAATTGTGGCTTTACTCATTAAGTAATACTAAGAGTAATTTATAAAACATAATAATCTTTTAATTTGATTCTAGAAGTCGACAAGAAAATTTGAATGGTGGAAAAAAAAGAGAGGCTATTTTAGACCATTTCACTGCTAGGTTTGCAGTCAAGTATTGTAATGGCTTGCAAGGAAGAAACGTTTTTGCTATGCATGTTGTCGCATGACACCATTGAAGCCATTAATATATGGGAATGAAATATATAGAGAATATTTTAAATAGAAATATTATTGCAATTCATAATTATAGAGCAACATTTAAATAAAATTATTTATAAAGAAAAAATAAAAAGCTAGCTACTTTTTGAAATCACCCGTATCTGTAGCGTTTATAGATTTTTTGCGGGTGAACATTATCAACAGTTGGGTCCATAGCTCAGTGGTAGAGCATTTGACTGCAGATCAAGAGGTCACCGGTTCGAACCCGGTTGGGCCCTCCATTTTACATTTTATTATTCCCTCTTGCAATTATATTCGACAACGTTGGCGTCCAGCGTTGCTCCTTGGCTTTTGTAATTTCTTTGTGTGTTCCTAGATTATTAAATTTCTTTATAATTTACTGATTTTCGAATGCAAATTGCTAACACACACCCCAGACACAAAATTTCACAGTAAACAACAAATTTTATTAAAAATGAGCAGAAGCACGGTACATAAAATTACAAACATGCCAGTGGCATTTTTCTATTCTTTTTTTCTCTATTCACCCTTTCAATGCAACAACAACAAACAACAGATTGGATCCTTTACAAACATATAATATTTCAAAATGCATCATAATTATTTCCCAAGATTGTTGTATTGGAAACAGGTCAGTGAACAACAATGAGGGCAAATTTTTCAAAAAACAACAATGAAAGTTTTCCCCTTTACTCCCACCAAAGAGACCAAACCAACCAACCCCATCCAATAGTATATATTGCAAAAGAATGCTTCAAGATGACAACAAATGAACCAGTCATGCAAATAGAAGTATCACTTCTGTTTTCGACTCTGCAGCCTGCTTCAAGACTGATTAGCCTCTGATTAATTTGCCCAAAAAATTGAGATCCATGTGTTTTGCACCCCAGTGCTCATCCTTTCAGAAAAAGAGCAGTTCATTAGAAGGGAAAAGAGATTCCCGTTTGTAATTGTCAAGCGGTTGCGTTCTTTTTACTTTCTAGTACACAACCCTCTTTGAGGGCTACTTGTGCCTCATCATCCCTTTCAAGTACAAAAAGAGCTGCAGCTTGCAAATATAATGCAATGTGCCAAACCGGGGAAATCACTTGGGCTTGTGATGCATCATTCAAGGCTTCCTGTGGCATGTCACTCATCACATAAGACAAACTACGGCGTGCAAAAACTGTCGGGGAAACCATGGTTCCAACATCAATAAACTGCAGGTTAAATGAACAAACTGTCAGATAGATGGCAGAAATGCTGCCTTTTCAATCTGTAAAAGATTTAAGGATCAGTATACCTGGTGGACCCATAAAAAAAACTGAAACCAACATCATAAAGAGTCGGGTTTGAGATACCAATCAAAATATGGTTACTGTAACGTTTTCCAGGAAACATCTCTTATTATTCAACCATCAAAACTATTTTCTATAATAACAGGACAAATCAAATTGAGAATGACTTATAAACGTCTCTTTTTCTGTATCCTCAAGGACTGTTAATTGGAAAAAGGGTTAGTACCAGGGCCAAGCTTTAACCAAGTAGACAGGGCCAATTACAGCAGGATTTTGGCCCCACGTCGAGTAAAAGCTAGGCTCAGTACCCTACATCGACCTCCAGCAAAAAATCCGCATAAGTAAAATGTCATATCACACCATAAAATTGTAAAATAATATCTAATGTCTCATTGTATTTTCATTTCTCTGATGGTACAGACTCACTGTCCTCCTCTTCACCCTTCTTGACCATTTACGCCTGTTTTATACAGAGGAAGGGGAAAATGAGGACCCAGGCTGCCCTGAGGGATCCCTTTTATACAAGAGCCATAAGTCGTTGGTTGGTCCGGAAAGTCATGGGAGAGGCAGGCTAAGTGAAATATACTAATATACTGGTGTTACTAAATAATCTTATGAATCACACACAAAACACTTTCTATATCTCCTCAGTCTACAAGGTGAACAGCTTAGCAATTTGGCATATATCAAAAGGAAAGAAAGGGTGCCACTTTCCCTAGTATGGTATTGCATGTAGATGGGAAGGAAAGATAAGAATCTTCTTGTCTAGTTTCCATTCTACTTCTTTTCTTCCTAAAACAGAACTTATTAAGGGTAAAAAAATCTCAATTAATTTCAATCTTTACTTCAGTTCAGCTCCATTAGCAACAGGAGATACTTTAGTTTAGTCCACTCCATAGGCTTTATCATATACAGTAAAGTTAATTTATATGATTATGCAAGTCTGAGACTTGATTGCCAAATCTGGTTTATATGGTGATACTTCATATTCTTTAAATCAGACCTGGGTGTAACACTCAATTGCAGCCCTGAAATCTTTATGATGGAAAGCAACGTCACCCTTTTTCTTTGAGTTTAATGTCTCCTGCATCTGGTTGGTCCACATTTGGAATGAAAGCTGAAAGCTAGAAAAAACACCAATTAGCATACCATATGTGAGTACTGATTATCACTGTGGTTGATGCTTGACAGAGTTCGCATGAGTAAAACCACATTTAACAGTCATCATTTAAATATTTAAAAAAATGCAGATAACAATTATCTAAAATGTGCCTACTGCAAGTAAAAAAGCAAACACTTAAACAGCAAACATGGGTCACACAAAGAATAAAACAAAGAGGTTAAATATATAGCTCACTGGTTGATTTTATGCCACATAACAAAATGGCATGGCTTGATTGCTTCTATGACACCAGGAATTATGGAAACTACAGTTATAAATAGCTCTCATGCATTCTCAATGTTTTTTTTTTCCGGGCTAGACATGCACCTTCATGTTACTGAGCACAAGTACCATTGAAGGATCGACACATGTCAGGTCAATGCAACACCACCATCATAAACTAAAACGAATTTGTGACATAATACAAATATTGACAGAATTGAAAAAGCTGAAACTTTATTACAGTTGATTACGCAGAAGTTCAGAAAAGCTATATGATATAATGATATAATGATATAACGAGACTTAGCTATTCCTTAAATATGATATATGAGAAACGAACCTCAGTTGCTGCACCTTCATCATCCTTATATCCAATGCTTTCTAAGATCTCATGTATGGCCGTCAAATCCTTCCTCACACAGGCTTCACCAAGTGGTGATAGATTAGGTATAGCTGCTGCACCATGTGGTATACCCATCAATACATGAGAAGCAACCTGCAGAACTTAAAGTTTAGTCTATATTGCAAAAAAAAAAGTACCATGCAATGTTTCAATACAAGCACAGACATTGACTAATCATGAGTTGCTGTTAAGGATGTCTATAATGAGTAAAAACTGCACATAAATAATAGAATGAGGTATGGATCTTATGCCATCATCAACGGACCCAGTGAAAACACTCTTCAAGGCTTATTAATGGTACACCCCACAGACAAATGGTATGATATAAATTATATTCATAACTGAGACTCTAGAAAGAAAAACTTTCACTAAATATGGCTGTATTTTTTTTGCTTTCCAATTCTGAATTCCAGTCTCTAACAAGAAGAGATAGAAATAGTATCCAAATCTCAAAATTTGATAGCGCAACCACTTTGAAAGAAAAGACCAACCAATAAGAATATTTGTGAGACAAGTTAATAAAGAAAACCCAACCTCTGTATCCTTCTGAAGAGGAACCAAAGCAGCAACCAATGACTTTGGATTAGGACGCTCTCGGGGTTCATATTGCAAACATCGTGAAGCCAAACGTACTAACTCAGTTCCCTCATCATTTGAAAATTGGCCTTCCAAACAAGAATCTGTTAGCATCTGAAGATTCCTGTCCCGAATAAGATCAAGTGCCTAGAACATTGTGCAACTGAACATTAGATGTGCAATTACATGGAACTCAGAACTGAAAGCTCAAATGAGAAAACAAAGTTATTCCTATGACCAGAGTCACACACTTTTCAAGGTCAGTGAGGAAACCTGAAACCCTCAACCTTCTAAAGAGTTCAATGGGAAGGATATTGGAAAACAACATCCATCAACTACTTATCAATATTCTTTTGAGGTTGAAGAATCATGCCATATTACTAATATACCTGTGGTCATTAGTTCCATAATCATGGCTATCAACGAATGTTCCAGTATGGCACAATTACTAATACCCAATACTAGTCTCTCCTGCATTTAGGAATAGGAAACCGTCTGGTGGTGCATTAAGGGTCTTATTGCAAAAGAGACTTACATGGCTTGGAGGAATATGTTTCCCACTGAGAAGGTCAAGCAAAAGGGTGCCAAAGCTATACATTACACTTTCTGCCGTAACTCTTCCTACAGAAAAGATGAGAGAGATATGGTATTCATAAAATAAACATTCAAATAAACACCCCCTAGAATATGAGAACGAAATTAGACTGGCCAAATAACATCCATGGAGACTGGGAAATCAAGAGCAACAGAAGCATGTTATTTAAAAGAAACATATAAAACGTATATGTAGCAAAAGAACTGCTCAGATAACAACCATGTAGACCATTGCAACTGACAGCAACAAAGTCCACCATACAAGATGGAAACCAGAGTACTTTCACGTTTAAAGAGAAACATGTTTGGCAGGCATGCACATGTGTTTGTGTTGTATGTAGGTGCAAGAGTACATACAGAGATAAGAATTTGAGTTCCAAATTGAATTTCCCTTATAAAATGCCATATTTGTAGATTACTCAACAAATTACCCCTACTTTATCAAGCGATGTATATTACATAATGAAGATATATATATATATATACTATGGACATCATAAGAGAAACAAAAATTCCAATGACTAAAGCTCGTATTCAGTCAAATTCCAGACCATATTAGAAATTTAATTACACAATACCGTCTTGGAACCACAAAATAACCAATTTAACGAAACTAAAAAATAAATAAAAGGAAGAAAACAGGGAACAAGTAAACATAACATCACAAGTCACAACAGGCAAACATCACATGTAACATCTGAATATCGGTGTCCAGATGGTAACAAAGGTTCAACTGCCATGCTGGTCCAATGAAGAACGCAAAAATGTTATTAATGAATAAATGCCAAAAGCTGAGAAATTTTACTTCTTGAAGATACATACCTGTCCGTAGATACTCGGGAGGAGTAAATGCCAGGTTTGTGCTGTAGCTTTTCCCATCTCTACTGTTTTTCATCATACCAAAGCATGAAAGTCTAGGGTTGCCATCCTGAGGTTTTAGTAAGAGCAATTCGTATGAGACTCAAACAACAAATGAGGGGCAGAACTGACAGTATTAAGTTAAGTTTGAAGAAACAGAAAGTAGATAGATACTCACATCATCAAACACAATTCTATAGGCATTTAAATCATGATAAAGGGCACGTCCTTTACTGGTACAATATTCAAGAGCCTGTGCAAGATATAAAGCCACCCGTAACCGCATTGCCCATTTCATGGGTTGTGTTTCCCCTGATACAATACATAATCAAACGCAATACTAAAAATTGTGTCTTTTGAGGACCAAAAAGTTAAAATAAAAGGGGGCACAATGAATACAGCGGAGAAGTATGAGTAGATAACAGATGTCAAAGATAAAGGAAAATAGATTCATTAATACTTCAACAGATATGAAAACTGGACTTGCAGGTGGAAACACAAAAGAAATCCAAACATAGCAATCATCTTGAGTGATGATGATAAGTTGTTTTGCATCTGATCCCAACATGCCGGCAAGATATTCAAAACAACAAATGATATGACGCTTTAAGAAGTTGAAAAAAGAAAATATGAATTGACCAAAGGAAACTGCCAAACTAAGAACCTACTGCATCTTGTCCACAGGAGTGATCATTTAAAAAATATATATATATATAAAGCACTCAAAATATCACACATTTTCATAATTTTATTTTTAAAAGAGACCCTTAACAGCCTATAGTGGAAAACTATGATTACAACGGTTAAATGTTAATAGTTAGATAATCAGATAAAACTTCAGATTCATATTTAAAGTGTTTCAGTCACTACTAAGAGCATATTGGATACAAAAATGAAATGCAAAAAACTAAAGGCGTTTACATGATAAAATAACAAATATAAAGTAAAAACTAGCAACTAATGGACTTACAATGAAATAAATGCTTTGCCAATGTATCATTGGGCATATATTCAGCAACAAGTAGTCTCTCGTCACCTTCACAGCAACAACCAAGTAAATTTGTCAATCGGATGTTCCGAAGCTGCCCAACAGCCCTTGCTTCTTCCTAAAATTGTAAAAGGTCAGGTCAGAGGAAGAAATACAAAAATCATAATGCAAGGAAATGGGGAAAAAAAACTACATTAATGGCTGTGCAGACACATAGACATTGCATAAAATGAAAGAACTCATGAAGATAGTAAAGAGAGCACATTGGCATTTCATAAAAAATTTAAAATTAAACTAACTTGGTTGATCAATGGCCATGAATCCATCAGTCCATTATCATATGCCATAAACATACCAGATATAATGCCCTTTCCCCAAACTAGAATAGCTGGATCTGATCAAAAGGAAAGAAAAAAAGAGTAAAAGAGGGCTGTAAAACACAATTTTGCTTTTGGAGTTTCTTCGCGGGAATGGGGGAGACCATTAAGTGTATATTGAACATTCAATTGAATGCGTGTATCCTAAACAAGATCACTATCATGGGAACATTAAAGCAAATGGTAGTAGCTACCACAATATATAAATGATGATAATAATAATATATTGGGGATTAAATTCTTTTAGTAGTATCAAACTGGACGATTGAGTTATTCCATGAGATGCAAACATCATTAAACCATTTAAAGTCAGTAGGGTATTCAAATTCAAAACATGCTCCAAAAATTGAACACAGACTCCTTTTCTGAGGAGAAACATATCATTAATAGGATAAGCAATAGTTTAACAATTTTTGTAGTGGTAAGGGCAATGAGCAATTACATACAGTTTTAAAAATGAGAAAGATGTAATAAAGTTACTCAGAAATCAGCAATATCAAGAATGTTGTGAATCGGTAAAAAAAAAACAGAAAAGAACATAAATATGGAAAAATCTGTGAATGTTGATCATAAAAGAACTTTTGTGGAAGTAGTCATAATGACATCAGAATAACTGGGGAGTCAGTACATGCTTACCAAAAATTGCCGGGCATCAGGCCAAGCTGATCTATTGAATCTTTTGACAGCTATCCGTCTTTGATTCTCAAGCTTCCCTTTGTAAACCACATTTGGGGCTTTTTCCCCATGTTCAGAAACTATATTCTCCACAGCAAATCCTGAGGTTGCCGTCCTAAGTTGCTCAACTGTGTACTCATGAAATGCAGGCAAATCAAGTTCATTCTTCTCCTCATTTTCTACAAAAAGAACAGCAAACTATGATATTGCAATCGGAGATACAGAGAAAAAACGAAAAATGAAAGCTACACATTCTTACCCACGCTATGGGTCTCAAGAACTGGTTCAGTAATTTCTGAACCCCAACAACAGACAGAGAGTTTGGAACACCCACAGCCCATCCCAGTCTCAGAGTTTGACAGCAAACACTAGGAAGTCTTGAGGGTTCAAAATTTCAAATTTTACCAAAATTTGTAAAACCCAAAACCTCCATCCACCTTCAATGCCAGCCCAATTAGTTCCCTTCACTGAGCAAGACCTGTCAAAGATTGATTATTCAGAATCTACAGTTATATGGAAAACCTCAAAATGCCCATGTCAAAGTTCAACTCATTTTCTCGATATCTGAAACTAACTTCAATAATTCTGCCCACAAAAGGCTTCCTCAAAAAACAATCGTTTTGTTCTTTTTGTGAAAAAACAGCTTCTTTCAAATGTTCCTTTCCACAGAAAGCAAAAGATGCAATCAATGTCAAGACAAATTATTCAAATTTCAATGATTCAAGTCAAGGGACACTTTAGTCCTAACACTAATGCTAAACTCTGTACAGAGAGAAACAATGTAGAGTAGGCATCTCTGAAGAAATTTCAAAAGGCATAGACAAGCAATACATCACTGAATATTCCGCATTTCAGCTAAACAAATGATACCTCTCCAACGATTCCAATCTGGGTCAACTCACTATGATCCGAGCTAGTCAAATTGAGTCCACAGCCTACCAACTAAGCCAAAACCCAGTTCTCTCAAACACCAAGCAAAAAGCTTCTTCCTTTTGGCACCAAACACACTGACCCACCAACTAAAATCACGCAAAACGGAGACCCTTTTAACTCAAATCAAAGATCACCAACAGCAAAGCACAGCATGGTACTCAAAACATGTAAAGTCGAAAACGAAACAGCAAAAATATATTTGTTTAAAGTGAAAATTCGAGAAGAGCTTTGAGAACCTGAAATTGAATGAATGAATGAGCCAAGCAAAGTACCCGTCCTCGATTCGGTCAAAGGCAACGAAAGCAAGGAGGTCTATTGTCCTTGTTTATTTCATTCTCATTTTTTTCTTCTTTTTTTTTGGTTGAATTTACGAAATTCTAAAATATAATAAAAGTAAGTTCAGACAGTGAGAGTTGAGAGAGACTTTGAAATCAGAAATCGTCGTCGTCGTCTTCTTCTTCTTCGTCGTTTCCGCGTTTGCTTTCTCTGCGTATGAGAAAACTTGCTGTGAGAGAGAGAGAGAGAGATAGAGCGAGACAGACAGACAGACAGACAGACAGAGAGCTTCGTCATTTAGATGAGAATTGTATATATTAAAAAACGTGAAATATTTTGTATTTAAATTTTTACTTTTAAAAAATTATTCATTTTATTTTTGTGTTTTTATATCGGTGTGTTTTTGTGTGTGCGTGTGGGACTTGTCCTACATTTCCCTATTTCCACCGACATGACCCCGTCTTTCTGATTTTCACACCCCCTAGTGAATAAGTTTCCATAATCAATTGCCCAACCATCTCCCCCTAACAGACAAACCCATAAATAAAAAAAACTTAAATAAAAACAACTATCATAATTTAAACATAAAATAGCAAAACACAAAAGTAATCCACCTGTCAAATTTGTTGCCAAAGTGGGGTGAATTTCAACCACTTTCCCATGAGGTCTAGCTCAAATCTTGTTTATGTGTATTTACCCCTACTTTTTCCTCTCTTTTTTTACTTTTTTTTTTCTTTATGATTTTTCCTTTTCGGTTTAGGTTTTGAAACACAATCATTTTATTTTATTTTATTTGCAATTTTTATTACTATTTAAAGATACTGGGAAAACAGAGACGCTTGTTGATCAGCTATAATTTCGGACAATACGAAATTGAAGAAAACATAAAAATAGAAACTCTTCATCAAGAAACGGTTTACTTTGGATTTAAAATTGGATTATGTTAATCATTAGTGTACGCGTCACACGAATAAAATTTGTCTTTATATATTTAGGATCTTACTGGAACATTCTAATTGGAAGCTAAGTAACTTCTAGAGTTGGCATCAACGTAGCATATTAAATTAATTTGGGCATCAATAAGCCAAGCCAATCGGGTTGTTGATGGTCTCAATCATAGTAAATCATCATGTTAATTAACCACAAAATTCAATCAGATGCACCTTTCTATATATAGATTTTTTGTTCTTATAGTATATCTAGCATGAAATGTAACTATATATAGTAATTAACAAATTCAAATTTAGTAAGGGTATATAATAACAGAACTATCAGCATCATTCTTATCATTATACTTTTTTTCCTCCGAAAAGAGAGGGAAAATATTTTAATCTGATTGCACTAATGGAGTGTTTTGGTCAACCGTTTAGAAAGAAAGAAAGAAAAAAACAAAGACTATTAATAGTGATCTTAGTTCGGAGTGTTCAAATCACGGGGTGTTATCAATCTACTCATGTTATAAGATATGTATTTGTTTATTAATCTAATATGTTACCAAATAAATTTGCCCCTGGACCAAACTCAAATTGCACAAAAGGAAAGCACTCAAGCCCAACTAAAAAAATACAAATTTGAAGTTCCAATGGAAAGTGGAAAAATTAGTTAAAACTAAGAAATAAATCTAGAGCTTAATTAATCAAGGGTAGGTACAAAATGTTTCATTTTTTATGCAAATAAACAACCTCTCGTATGCTAATGCCATCTTGGTTGCTGTAAACATGGAATTTGCATATTCCAAGCATGCCTTTCCTCTTTGTGCTGCCCTCTTTGGCCCTTCATTCACAGCCAATTCCAATGCTCCCAACAACGACTCCACATTGGGAGAAAACATAAAACCATATTCATCATCCACAACTATAGTACCTTTGATGCTGGGAAACCTTGATGCCATAATTGGCTTCCCGCTCATCATCGCCTCCGTGAGAGTCAGATCGATACCTTGTGGTCTAAGTGTAGGGTTCACAAAAATATCAATCGCGTTATAAAATGCATGTAACTTAGATAGACTCATAGAACCAAGTACTAGAACTCGATCAGACTTCAAACCTTTGTACCTTTGCTCCCATGGCCCGGAACCGGCCACGATCAAGTACACATTTGAAGGGTACTTAGCTATGAGCTTAGAGAATGCTTCATAAAGTATAGGATGGCCTTTGTCCTTCACTAATCTTCCAACCACTCCAAATACTAAATTACTAGAATTTTGTGGTATGCCAATTCTAGATCTAAACTCGTGGCGTACTTTACTATTTTGACCAAACTCAGCTTCATTTACTCCGTTGACTATCACATGGACTCTTTTGTTTGGTATTTGGTACACATCCCTCAGCATCTCTCCACAACTATCACTTGTAGCAACATGATGTGCATAGTTTTGGAAAAACCTAATCTCATTCAACACCTTTGGAACCGACCCTTGTATGCTTTTGTTGAAAGATGGGGACATAGGCTCCGTGCTAGGGTTACGTGCCAAGTCATGGAAGATGTATGAGTGCAAGCTCTCTAGGGCTATGCCATGCCATGACACTGCAAGGTTTGGGAGGCCCCAGGCAAGCCAATGAGGAAGCGCCACGCTTTCAGAGTGAACCACGTCGAATTTTTCACGTTGGTTTTGCTCAAAAAATTGTTCCCATGCCTTGTTGTAACGCCAAATCCCGGGCTTACCCTCGTGGAAATGGATGAACGGTGATGAAGGACTTGGAGGATGATGTCTGATCAGCTCTTGTGGAGAGGTGAATACATGGACTTAGTGGCCGAGGAGGGCAAGGGTTTTGTGTAGAGTGATGGCATGGCGTTCCATGCCACCGGGGACAGTGCCAAGAGGCCATTTTTTGGAGAACACAGCGATTTTGAGGAGAGGGTGGTCTTGATGGTGAAGAAAGGGAAGGTGGTTCCATGAAAACTGAGCAGTACGAAGATCGCCAGACCATGGCTTGGGATGGGTGGGGAAAGTGGTGCAAATGGAAGTGGAGGTGGTGTATGTATGGAGGAGAAAAAGAGCTGGGATGGTGAAGAGGACAATGAGGAAGAGAATGGTGCAAAGTTTTGATGAAGAAGACTTGGGTTTGTTGTAATTGGAGGCCATGAATGGGAAAATGAGGTTAGCTAACCTAGATGGAGATTTGGTTCTGCTCATATACTTTTGAATTTTATAATTTTTATGGGTGCGTAGTGGGGATAAAATTTTTTATAAAAAAATTTGTTTTAAATTTGTTTGTTTGAAATGCTTTTTTATTTTATATTATATTGAAACGAAAATCGTGGAGTATGTCTTCCAACTAACAACATTAGCAACGTGGTTGCCATTGCTTATTAATGTTCGACAAAAATTTCATGAAAGGCACTGTTGACATCATGAGCAGGCCAAGTTGAGGCTCTCTAATCTCTGTAAATAATAATTAGAACTCAAAAGGCTATCGAGAAAAAAGAGTTTTGGTTTGTAGCTTTTTGTTTTCAAATTGTAAACGAGATTTTTCTTTTATTTTTTAGTAATAATTGTATTCATAAATTAAACACAGAGATGATAAGTTATAAGACCGAGTATAAATACTCACAAATGGATAATACAAAAATGAAAGCACAGTAAATGAGCTTCTTTACAACAAAACATGGTAATGAGTGCATTAGTTAAAAAATGTTGCAATATATGTAGAAGGATGAAATGATATTTCTTCCAACTCTCACCACTCTCTTCGTCTAGTTGTACATCTCTTCATCTATATATATAAAGCAAAAGGCAAAGAATGATGAAACATTCAAAATACCAGAAAATGTCATGGGTTAATTCAAGCGTTAAGAATTGAAATTATTAATTACTATATATCTATATATATAAAGCAAAAGACAAAAAATGGTGAAATATTCAAAATACCATTGGTTAATGCAAAGATGAGCATGTGCCAATGAGCTAATATATATACATAAAGCAAAAGGTAAAGAATAGTGAAACATTCAAAATACCAGAAAATACCCTTGATTAATTCAAACATTAAGAATTGAAGTTATTAATTAAATGAGGATAATATGGTAAATTCACATTTTTTTATATTAAAAAAATTAAAATTAAAAACAAAATTAGATAATAGGTCCTACTTTTGTGGAATATAACTACCCATGTTATCTTTTTTTAATTTTAAAAATAAAATAAAAAAAGAAAAAGAAAACCAATTGGCACATGCATGAGCATGTGCCAATGGGCTAGTATTTAAGAATTCAATTAAAAAATTAAACAAATAATCGAAACCGATTAAAATTATATAAGATTGAATCGGATCCATCAGTTTAAGCTGGTTGCCTTGGATCTTGAAGGCCCCAAGATTACACTACAGTATATATTCATAATAAAAGAGACATCTTATAGTCAAAGATGACATGTAATTACCCCTTAAATACTCGTTTTTTAGCTTCAGCAAAAAATTATTGCAAAATGAAAATAGAGATCATGATCAATTAATTTATCTTCCTCATAAGAAACCAGAAAATTAAATTAAATTAAATGATGAGGGGGTGTCTCAACCTTTCTTTGCATAACACGCGTCAATGTGTCCATAAAGCTTTTTTCGCAGGATTCAAACTCCTCCATAAATGTGATTTTTAATGGGTCAGGCTCATATATCCTATATAAATTTATCAGCAAAAGAAATACAACAACCTATTATTTTTTTAAATTAAAAATAAAAAACCAATTAGCGTGTGTGTGCATGTGCCAAGGGGCTAGTTGCATTGAAAGAGAAAACAAAAAACAAAAAAACAAAAAACTTAAGAAAACTGGGAAGAGAAAGAAAAATTCGAGTGCCCAACCCAATCCGCATTGAGCCTCTCCCCTTCCCTATATTTCCTTTTTCTCCATTTTTCACCCCCTCATTCTCTCGCTACAACGACAAAATTGCCAAAATTGAAATTTGGAAAAACTATTGAGTCAAAAATGAAATTTAGCAAAATATGAATAGCCTATCTACTCTAGATCTCTACGCGTGTGCCCAAAAGGAGGCCGGATACAGCCGTACGGTTGCTTAAAATTAAAAAGATACATCACGCACGTGCGACCAACACGCTTTCAAACGGAGGGCAAAACAAACGACTAAATCGGGACCGTTAATTAAACCCCTGCCACACTCTCAGCCGTCCCATCCCGTTGCGCGTGAAGATTCCCGAACGAATCCTCTCTTCGATGCAAACGGCGAAAATGACCAAACGAGACAAACACAAAAACGACGAAACATACGGCCAAGTTAAAGAAGAAAGAAAAAATCTAATAACGAGAAAACCATTTTCGATGCTTGA